ACAGTCACAGAGGCTGATATCCTTAATTCCTTTGAATTAACAAATTCTTTAGGGAAAACATTTTAAGATAATTATTTAATCAACAGGGAAAAGAGAGCCTCTCATAAGTTATCTATTTCTACTGTCAATTATATGGTTATTTAAACAGCATTTTAAACTTGTACAGCACTATTCTTCCAGAAGGATCACAAAATGCTCTGACTATACATACAGCACCACTGAAATACAGCTATCTCTGAGTGGAGGATAACAGCCCGATAGCCTGCACTCCACACAATAATAGGCTGAGGGTAAATTTTGGCCAAGGATTTTAGGTCAAACCTGAAAAGCACCACAGCATCTTTATTATCCCAAAGAACAGGAAGGATCTTGGTTTTTAAGGTCTTCTCTCCTTCCCCCCAAACCCCAATAAATTAAAAAACAGACACCTGCAAACTGCTTAAAATTAATTATACCAAGCATGGCAGGATCACAGCTCAATAGAACCAGTGGGCACTGGAACCTTTGGATTCAGTGATTCTGGGTGTTCCAAACCTGATGCTTAGATGATTAAGCTATCCCCTTCACCTTTTCTTTTTCACAAAGAAATGCAATGTGAGAGAGTTAAGGTATGCATTTGGGTCTGAGAGAAGTTGAATTGAATTAATTAGCAAAGCAGATAGAGAAGTATTTTAACATTCTATGGAATGAGAATTTGGATGTTCACTCAGATAACTTGCTTGTTTATAAATCAGCAGGAAATAAGATCAACTATTATTCAGTTGTGCTCCCTATTTACTCACTCATAGTTTTACAAGGGTCTGGTGCAATGGAAAGAGGACCACAGAGATACAGTAATTATATTTTGTACTTCATTCTTTCTGAAGCAAGCTCCATTGTTTTGTATCTTTTCTCTTCTTGGCTGTACATTCTGTACCACCATCTGTCGTGCTTCATGAGAACATGAGGTTTCCAAAAGGTTTCTGCAGGTTTTTGACATATAATACAATGTATCATGTTAGTAAAATAATAAGTAGCAATTTACGGCAAACTTAACACATATTATTGTCAGCTCATGTTATCACTTTATAATATAGCATTTCCCAAAGATGTATCCTTTGTTCTCTATAGTCTCAGCTTTCAGGGATAGCCTGTTACAATTGTGGAGAGAACCTTCCAAACATGATCCAATTGTAACTGATGCAGTATCATCTGTCTGAATTGCAGAGAGCCTTGAACAATAAAGTTGAGGTGAGCACAGCCCCATTCATCTTTATGGCTGCTAACTTAGCTGCCAATGATATTTTTAGTGTCAGTGTTGCTCACTGATTCATTTCTAATCAAAGCATGAAAGAAAGGAAAGGAAGCATTAAGAGTATGAAGAGCTATACCAGTAATTCCCAAAGTATAGGGGACACTCCCTGCAAAATAGTTGCAGGGAGCTTGGTTCAGGCCTAGGTCTACTCTGCAGTTGCTCTTGTGATAACTGTGAAGGTACCAGTGTTTCACTACAGTGTGCCTCAATGTTTCTATTGCATAGTAAGGCTGATGGGAAGCAGCATATGGAAGGCAACAAGGTGGTGTGGAACAGCTATTTTATTCTTAACACTGAAGTAGTGCTGGGTCAGAGTTGTAACTAGGCATTTTAGCACGCTGGGCAAGCAAGCATCTTTGCTCCCCTCACTGTTTTTTTTTTAAGATGATATGAGTCAGGATATTATAGTGTAATGATAATGCATTTATTTTTGCATAGACAATAAAAGCTATTATATGATTCTTTTAAGTGCCACATTAATTTTCACACAGTCCTTTAACATCCCTATAGTATCCTCCTATATACCCTTTAAGTAAACTCATTGATAGGTACTAAAAAAAATTGACTGAAAATAATGGTAACATAAATATGGATACTGCACTGACTTAATGGCATGAAACATATTCAGAAAGACATAAAATTGCATTTCTGTTTATAAAAAAAAAGTGATACTGGTCATTTTACATCATCCCACAGTGAGACTGGCTAGAATAAACAGCCACCTCTCTCAATGACACAGCGGAGAATAAGTGGGACTCAAGAGTAAGCAAAGAATGAATTTATTGTGGAAGTGGATTATCTAGAAATTGAATTACCAACATAGCAGCTGACTCTGTATAAGCAGAAGCCACTCTTTCTCTGGCTTTTATATGAGGGAAACAGCCATTTTGGGTGGGGCAGGGGGAGGTTTAGATTTCTGGTTTTTACCTTTTGCATTGTGATTTTATTTTTCTAAGAAGAGTATTGATTATTGTTTGCTTCCTGCTACAATATTATGGTTGGCTTATACCTGATCATTTCTCAGGCTGAACCCTGCCAAGCAAATTGCAATTATGCCCCTTTTCATTATAACAGCATAGCTTGTTTGTATATGGCCAGTATGAGAAGTATCATTCCGTTGGGAAAGCTATGTTGTGACAGCTGATAAGAGGCATGACTCATCTTGGCAGGAAGTTAGACTAAATGACCCTTGCAGTCCCTTCTGACCCTATGGTTCTATGTTTGACTTCTGGCCAGATGAGGCCCTTGACACCTATGTGTGGAGACAGAAGAAAGTATATAGCTGTGGTGATTGTGAAATCATATTATGCTGTGCTTCAGTGTGAGACAGTGCCAATACCATAGTTAAAATGGCTAGATGAACATATCGAGGTGATGGCCCCGGTCTCATAGAGAAGGGTGTCAGGAACAGACTGGCTGGGTCACAGCCCAGAATGCTACAAGCACAGGTCACAGTAGACATGCTTCTTTGCTGGTGCATATCTCACCAGCAGCCCCAAATCAGATCTGCACCCAATGTAGATTTCCCTATTGGTCTCTTCACCTGTACAGTGAATGGCCTGTATTTTTATCTGTCTGGGCACAACTGAAAATTGTCCTTAGCCCGAAATTAGAGGCCTTTTAAAAGAAAAGCCAAGATGTGGTTAGCATTCTGGGCCAGTCTGCCCTGACGGTGTCAATTCCCTGATGTTTGAGTGCACCTTGCTGGCCGTTAATGGAGCATTATAACAATGGGTCAAAGGGAGACTCCTTATTTTGTTCTCTGTAGTAACGATTGGGGTAGCAACAAGAAGGGTAGGTCACAGTAACAGGAAAACACAGTCCAGGAGGGAGCAGGGTGTGTTTTACCCCTTACTGAGTGTGGCTACTTGTGCAGTGTTTACTTTCTTTGTTTCTACTGTTGTTTCTCCTAACTGTAAATCATAAGCAGCCCAGGACTTCTTCATTTTTCTTGTCTGAACACTTCCTCCTAAGCATGGAAGCCCCTCAGCAATCAGGGCAGGTGGCTCATCCCATTGGGGTAACTGTTTACTCCCTTGGCCCCTCTCTGTGCTGGGGCTTTGCTGTCTGCCTCCATCTGGCAGCGCCTCACCCCTGGGCTGACCCCAGCTCCTATCCCCACCCTCCAGTTTTGCTACTTGGCCCCTCTCCTGCCCCTGCCTCCAGCTGTTTGACACCCCCTCACACGCAATCAATTTCTGCTCCCTGCTCAGACCCTGCAAGGGCAGCAACTTCAGCAGATGTTACTGAGCAATGAGTGCTCATAGGAGCCAATTAGCACTCAGTGCCCTTCCCGCCTGCCACCGTGCCAGAGTCCTAGTGCCGTAGAGCCTGCTCCTGGGGGGTCAGTAGGCCAGCAATCCTGGTGGGAGTGGGGGGGTCTGAGCATCCTGGACTCCGCCTGTGCCCGATCCTGCAGTGGGGGGGATGACACTGCTGGGCCCGATCCTGCGCGCTGCCCCATTTTTGCACCCCTGGCAGTTCTGCACCCTGGGTGTTTGCCCCGCTCACTCCGCACTAGTTATGGCCCTATGCAGGGTTTTCAGGCATAGACTTGATATAGTGGATAAGTGTGAATTTTGAAGAACTGGAGAGAAAGAGAGGAGCATGTTGAAGAGCCAGCACGCCCACGTCTCTCCTTTCTATCACTTCACTTTCCTCCCTCCTGCGAGGGTGGGTTCTGATAGGTTTGGCTCCTCTATTTTTGGAAGGATAGGGAGTGACTGTAAGACTCTGTGTGACTTGCTGATGGACATACAAAGTTTTAATATTAACAGAGGTGAGTCATGAACTCAGGCATTCATGTCATGCAGCTCCACTCTCAGATCTCTTGACAACATCTTCTCTACCCAATATAATCATGGCTGTCCCAGTGAAAAATATTGATATCTCCATGCTGTAATCTTCCTTTTATGCTGCTGTAGGATCAAAATATCTGCGCAATATCACCTCTACCTCGATATAACTCTGTCCTCGGGAGCCAAAAAATCTTACCACGTTATAGGTGAAACTGCATTATATTGAACTTGCTTTGATCCACTGGAGTGCGCAGACCTGCCCCCTCTCCCCCCCCCCCAGAGCACTGCTTTGCCGCGTTATATCCGAATTCGTGTTATTTTGGGTCGTGTTATATTGAGGTAGAGGTGTACCTGATTTTCACTGGATGGACCAAAGCAAATTTTGTGATATCAAAATGTTTGTAAGATCTGTATTAAATGTACTCTCCATCATAGTTAATGGACAATTGTCAGGTTGCAATATCCACATTTAAAAGAACAATCCATGGGGAAAAACAACGGCCTTTTAAAATGTCTTTGTATCTCACTGTTAGCAATAGCTCAGTAAATTTTATCAGTAAGTTGAACTTCCAATTGGGATGAACCACAATAAAGTCAATGGGAGTTGAATTTAAATTTTTTAATTAATGGAGATATCCTATCTCCTAGAACTGGAAGGGACCTTGAAAGGTCATCGAGTCCAGCCCCCTGCCTTCACTAGCAGGACCAAGTACTGATTTTGTCCTCGATCCCTAAGTGGCCCCCTCAAGGATTGAACTCACAACCCTGGGTTTAGCAGGCCAATGCTCAAACCACTGAGCTATCCCTCCCCCGTTTTTTGCCATTGACTTCACTGGGGCCAGGTATATGTCATAAGCATATTTTTATTTTTTACTTATGTATTTATTTTTGCTTGTTTTATTTTGCAGATCGCCCATGGATTTGGAATATTCCTTATACCAAAGCACCTGATACACATGGAAACATGTGGGTTCCATCATAAAAGCTTCAAACCCACTGTGAGATTTCAGCATCTGACACTGAGCCTCCTACCATAGCTGTGAGACTAATTATTTCTGATTTTCAGATGTGGAGTTGTGCACTGGATAACTAGCTTCTTCTTATGTCATATGTCAATAATATTGAGGAATTGTTTTGGAGAGGAGAGGAAGGGAGAATCCTTGGAGAATATGTAGCTATATTGATCTTTATAGACCTCCCAAAATATAACACTGTAATTTTAAACTACCATTTTATATACTCTTCTTATTGTAGTGGCCATTGCATTTTGGAAGGTGTTAAAATGACAGTGTAAGCTTATGTTCAAGGTTCCCATTGTTTTTAGCCAGAATATATTCAAATCTGTTAGTATTCTTTTGGACTGTTTTCGGGCCCCTCTTGACCATAGTAAGAGATTTGTATGTACATTTTGAAATTAGAAAGTGAATAAAAGGAAATTTTGTTACATTTTTCATCAACATGAAACCAACGTCTTTGGTAATTACTGTCCTCTCCTGTTAGAGCTTAACAGAGTTGAATTCATTTTCTCCCCATTTTTTCCTTCTCCAAAGCCCAAATCCTGTCCAAAACACTCAGTGCAAGTAGCTGGACTTGAGTGCCAGGGAGCTACATGAGGCAATGAGGTCACATGCATCAGAGCTGCTCTGCAATTTCTATTCCAGTCTAAAAGCCCAACAGTACAGTGCAATTCTTCCTGTACAACCCCCGCCATATCCCAACCAAATCTGTCAGGATAACTATTCCAGTTCTGTCATTTAGTCTTTGTGATCCCTTTTGGAGGAGGATGTTGCAGAGTGCCCAGGGGAGTAATGCTGCTTTAAGCAGTAGTAATTTAATGTTCCTTTTTCTGCAGATCCAAAAGAAGACCTGCTACATAAGCCCTCCCCCCACATTCAAGTCCCTTCATAATAGTCACTTCTGCTGTGACACCTACATAAAATTAACCAAGTTAAGGGATCCATTTAGTGAAAACAAATAAAAAACCAGAAAACCTTATCCTCTTTGCTAAGGCATGCCAAGTACCAGCCCTCTGAGTAACCTGTAAATTGTTACTCCTGTCCTTGCCCTTTCTGTTTTCTTGCTTCTACTTCATTAGTTTCAATGTCATTCTGGGATGTATTAGCAGTAGTCTAATAAGCAAGACACAAGAAATAATTTTTCCTCTCTACTCTGCACTGATTAGACCTCAGCTGGAGTATTGTGTCCAGTTCTGGACACCACATTTCAGGAAAGATGTGG